AACTTTCGTCTTTATCTTTTGATCATAGATAGATGTTAGTGGAACGAAGAAAATTCTTAAAGGATTCGTATCTATGGCTTTTGGCTTCCGAGATATGATTATGTTTATGTGATACGAAGGAAGGATTCTTACGTTTTTGAATTTACGGTGCACGTTTCCATATTACCTTGTAGCTTAAAATATGTCAAAACAATGGTTTGATCGTAGTCTTTGAACTATTCAATATTTGAATATGCAACTAACCTACTAGATAATAAACCATGAAAAATTTAATAGGAGCAATCTTTCAAAATGGCAAAAAAACAATGTAAAACAGTATATAAAGTACACACATGAATAAAGACATTTAATGGTGCTGATAATCAATATAGAAGTGACGAAAACATAAAACATTGCAACACCATAAACAATAGATAAAAGCAGGAGTTATACACCTCTTTTCTTTGCACAGAGAAGAATCAAACAAGAAACAAGCTTTAATAACACTGGTTAAATTACTAGAATAATTCTTCATATATCTGTTTTTGTACCAATCATATCTAAATGAGTTTAGGAAAAAGACAAGCTGTCATTTGAGAATAAATATTTTTGATACTAATTTAATGGTATGATTTCGATCTGGCATTTAAAAACTCAGCTGGTCAAACTCTAGTCGATCATATATACGACGAATAATACTTTTCATCTGTCTGCTAAAATATACATCGAGTGGTTGTATCTTATTCTTTGTTTTATTTGATATTTCTAATCGCTATAAACTTTTTATATTCTTATAGAGTTTTTCATCATTTTGATCTTGCCATGATTCTGAAAGAAGCAAACAACATGTAGATATATTGGAAGGTGAGAACTTGATCGATCCAATAATCTACATGGGAATTAGTTAATTTTTTCAGATTTTGAATAAATAACAACTATATTATCAGCTTGAAACATTCGAGGTTATATACCTAAAATTCAGTCAAGCTCAAGAAATCTAAAAAGATTAAGAATTTAAGATTTACTTTTACTGATCCAATCACTTGACTCCTGAAGACTTAAAAATAGAGACTCAACAACTTTTTCTTTGATATTGACAAGAGGTTCAATGGTATAAGCATGTATATTGACATTCTCAGACTTTACTCAACTAATCGTTACCTTGTTTCCTTAGAAAGGAAGCATATAGTTGTTTCAAAATTTTTTAACTAAATAAACTTGATCAAAATTAGAAGTTTCCCTTGGAGAATATTTTTCTATTTCTGCTCGTACAGTACACTAAAAACCTTTGATGGAAGTTCTAATTTCATAAACATTTCTAATCGGTTGTATGCTAACAAGTTTAGAACATTTTCGAGAAACATAACGATGATGATTACTCTTGAAATTATAAACCGAGTGCTTAGAAGCAACTAATTTAGACATTGATTATTGTGAAACATTCACCAAAGTCTATCGTTTCAGATTCGCATCATGAATGCACAATGATTCATTACATACTACTTTAAACATTGTCAAGACAAAGGAATCGAGTTTGACTATTTTTTGTTGTTTCGATCCATTACAGTCAACATAATCATGGAAGGGAGCGAGAGAGAAATTTCTCTGTATGGAATTCGACAAAATTGACGACTAGCACTTTTTCAGCTATGTGTTTGCTTTCTATTCTAGTTTAGCTCATCACAATACTCTAGTACTTGTTTTATATAATCAAAAGAAATTTTAAGTATTGATTGTACATCGTTTTGTTCTTATTCTCCTTCTGATGATCCTGTCTTTTCATCATCTTTGCTTTATTGAGACTCATCATCTGCTAAATTATCAGATGAATTTGTTTGATAGGATTGAACAAATGTCGAACTATGTTAGACAATATTGCCAACTTCTAAACCAATCAAATTCTTTTCTGTTGTTGAAAAGAGTAACGTTTGAACTACAATTTTTTCAGCGAATTATTTTTCTGAAACGAATCTATGAAGTAGAAGAAGTCAAAAATCAAATACCTCTAAAAATGTTCTTCCAACGTTTTTGTAACTTGGAAAGTTTCTCTTTCTCAACTATCTTGAGCTAAAAGGATCGAATTCGAAGAAAAAATACACCAATATGTAGTACATTAAAAGTTCTATCGATGTCAACTTTGGTCAATTTTTTTAAGCTTCTCTCTTGACTCTTTAATTAAAAAAAATGGGAAATTGACATTTTTGTAAAATATAGTCTTCTCCAAGAACTATCAGTTTGAAAAGAGATCAACCACAATCTCCAGAAATTATGTATGAGCTGAATTTTTTGTGTGTTATTTGTTGGAAATACCTCTGATTCTAGAAACTTAGCAGAAAAGAATTCACAAAATCTTTTTTATTTTTGTAAAACAGTGGAGTAGCAAGAAAGATCAAATTATAGTGTCATCCAGAAACAGCTATATTTTTCTAAAAAAATCAAGAATAAATTTAGCATCCAATATACCATTGGAAAGAGCACTTTTATGTCACAAAAACCATCATTAAACGTGCGTGTTCATTTTGCTTCTGATATAACAAAATGAATATAAAATAGAAAATGTCGAGGTCGAACAATACGGTCCGTATACGGTCGTTTACAGTGCAAATACGACATATAAACGGACTGCATACGATCAGAATACTTGACGCAGTTATACAATCGTATCATAGTGAAATAACGGCACAAATACGACCACATACAGCTAAAAGGCGGTGTCGAATACAGTGTCGTATTACTGAGTCAAGTATTTCGAGAAACTACGGACGATAAATGGCCGTAGACTAGTCGTTTTTTCAACGTTTGCTGAAGAAAAATGGGCCGTAACTGTATCCCATTTTGATCGATCTGGATGATATTGCACGAAGATGAAGGCGCAAGTAGGGATGTAAGCCGACAGTTCGATCGGTGGCTGCGCTGAAAAATTTTTAATTTTGTCAAATCTTCGACGGATGCTGATTTGAGTTTGTAGGCTCTTCAACGGCGGCGACTGTAAAAAAATAATTCTTTTTAATGCTCACGGCGCCGGCTAGAAATTTCGAAATTGAATAATTCTTTAGATGATAACAAATGTCTGTTCATTTCAATATCTTATTGCTAATAATTTCAAAAACCTTAATGAAATATTTGTACTTTGCACGTTAGTTTAATTAAGACATTACATGTAGACAATATGGAGAGAAGTAATGAATTACTACTCCGATTTGCCCGGTATATACTAATTTGTTGGTTTGGTTTGCTTAATTTCTATGACTTTATAGTTTGCCAATAAGGGATTTATCATATTGCCTGTACCTCAAGCATCACTGTAAACGCTACGTCTTTTTTGATTGAGGATGAATGATCATACATTTGTTCAGATTTTCACTTATCAATGCACATTTTGCAATAAACTTGTTGAATATATAACATTTAATTCGCTCTTTTGTGCATGTGACGTAACTAACAGCAAAAAAATTATCGATTATCGTTTTAGTACATTCAGTGGCTTTACTAGAGTAAAAAGACTTTTATTAAAAATATGAAAATTTGTTATATCGGGTAATAGATTCAGATACACATCAAAGTAAAACCACCAACATTAATAAAAGTGCTTTACACTTCTATTGTTCCGGATAGAGTATTAATGTTTCGTAGATATAAACAACCGAAAAAGTTAAGACGAAATTTAGCGATTCAAAAGTAAATGGAAATAGATCAAAAAAGCGTTTTTTGCATTCCGATTTCGGCGGTGGCGACTCGAAGTTTCAATACTTTTTCTTACTAACGGCGGTGCAGCGGTTGCATATGTTGTTGCTCAGCGGTGGTGGCTTAGAAATTCTTAAAATTTTCCTTTCCACGGCGGCAGCGGCTCAGCGTCACGGCTTACACCTCTAGCCGGAAGAACGTTTTTAGAGCTGTTTAGTTTTTGCTTTCTCTTGCTTCGTAGATTGATTCTACAGAAACAAGCCTGGTACAAAATTTGATGTTCAGACTTTTCTTTTTCTAACAAAAACAAATCGAATGATTTAGAAGTTAACAATATAGTCTAATAGAGTTTGATATTTGTCCAAACAATTCTGCATCAAATATTAGTTTGAAAGATATATTAAATGGGTCATTGAATGTGTTTATCTCCTTTAGGATAGCATAACTGTGATAGATCTGCTTTGATAATTTGTTCCAAAATGATTAAAAAAAATGCCATAGTATTATTTTATACGCCGAGTTTTCTCTTCGAAATACGCATAACATGTAACAGAAACCGTCAAAAGTAATTTTCTCTTTTCTCTCCTTCTATAATATCGCATGTTAGTTATTGCTAAGGACATCAAATTTAATATTCTCAGCTTTGACAGACTCACGAATTAAAAATTAATATAGAAGACAAATCAAAATTAAAGTTAATTGTATAGAGACTAATGTAGAACTATTTTAATGACAAAAGATATACTTTTCATCAGTAGAAAAATCTCTTCTTTTTACTACATGACCATTGATTATATCAGGAGAACTAAGAATCATAGGCATGAATTCTTTTACGATTTCTTTTGTTCCACTGAGGTCTATATAAATGACTAAAAGATCAAAACGAAAGTTCAGAATCAGTTGGAGTAATTTCCTTGTTAGTATTAATCATAAAATAAACTCAACTGATTCGAAAGTCATCACGAAAAGTACAAAACAATATTAAGTATTAGTAATAGTCCTCAACCATTGCTGTTCATCAACCTAAACTAAATAGAATTCTTTTCTCTGTACTATTCAAAATATATCCGAAGAGAGTACAACAAAAAAGGAAACAAAGTGAAGATGAAACAGTGATTGATGCACTCTCATGAAAGCAGATAATCGATGTTATCAAAGTGCATTGCATTGATATTGTTCATTGTAGAAGTATCGGTAAGCTTTCTTCTAGAAAGAAACAAACATATGTTCACTCTTTTCATCCTTTAAATGATATTTATTCTTGTGAATCACCATCTTATATATTCATAATGAATTAAAGGACAACTATCGAAACATTGAATAAAAAAACACCAAACTTATGTTATAGTGAAACTGTATATTTAAAAACCAAATAAATTTGGACGAAACAATAGAAAAAAATAAAATTATATTTAATGACTCCAAAAATACGAAGATATCGTACAGCATCCTATTTTTATCATAAAATTTCTAGTAAAGGAAATAATACTAAAAGAACATATTTCTTTGTACAGAAGAAAACAAATAGCATATCAAATCATAAGGATTGTTCACACAGGAAAAGCTTTTAGTTAAATTCATATTTATTTCAGTTTGTCACACGAGCACGGGAAGATTCTCGGCGAAATATTCATAGTTATCAGCATTTATAATTGCTTCTGACATGTTATTCAATGCCAAACTTGCGGACCCTATCCGACCATATATATAATCATAGGTACCCGCGACGACTACAAAGTGTGAAGTTTCGTGAAACAGTGTGCCAGCCTTGGAATCCGTACCTGTCATTGAAGCGGACCAAAACAAAGGACACAAGTGTATTATATATGGCTGGTCTCTGAAAACATAAGCATAGCAGATATATTTTTTGCATCCACAATCGAAAGTGATTCTCTTTGAACTAAGTACGTTTCTGATATTTTGGAAGTGTATCTTCTTTGTATTCCAATTGCTCAACATAAATCTACCAAACCAAGTCTTATAGAGATTTGTTCCACTTGGTTTCGTCTTATTCAAATAATTGAAAGAATTATCAGCATACTTAAGAGCCCAAGAGACTGCAGTGGTTATTTGAAATTTCTGAGTTGTCGAACAAGAAACATATGAAAGAGTAGCTGCTCTTCTAACCACATTCATATTTTCACTTTGTTCACGTTGACGATTCGGACGACCTTCGATTGTTAATTCTATATTATTTGACTGGAGACCAGATTGACGCTTACTAATGACTCTGACAAGGGTACTCTCGAATGTTCGAGCATGTTTAAAGACAACACGTTCAGTTGGTATATCATATTGAATTGAATAAATACCAGTCTTAGTCATATCGTATGCTAATGATAACCGAGCTTGAATGTTTTTTGTTTTGCCAGCTTCTAGAGATATCATATCTTCAATGGTTGGTTCACGTCGTTTAATAAGTGGACCAATATAGTTAACTGGAGCATTATTACAAGTTACTTTGAATAAAGGATCATTTAATTCATTGCTTGGTAAACACCATTTATAAATCGATATTGTGTCATTGCTGGGATTATTATATTGCACTTCCACTACTACATCTCGTGTTTTATCAAACATTGAATGAGCTGAAAGTAATTTAACTTGTAAGTAACTTCCATAGACATTAGCTACCAACATTGTCACTGCAATGAATATTAGAGTATGTTGTTTGTTCATATTTTTTCAATGTATCTCAATGTGTTTGTATTTTAATATCTTGTTTTTTGTATAGAAATAAACGAAGCTGCATTGCATTTATATACATAAAAAAATTTGAACGCAATGTTACGTAAAAACACATCATGCATTTCCGTTTGTTGTTCACAACAGTTGTACCTATTTTCACACGAGTAGTTCATATACAAAGAGTCTATTTGAAAATAATCCCGAAAGTTCAATAGTTTCTCTTTCAAGTACAACATTGTTAACGTGATTAATACGGAAAACGGTTATTGAAGCATGACGTAAATAAAGAGAAGAGATAATATAAAATATAGTACTTACCTGATCGAGCACAAGTTAGTAGTCTGAAGGTAAAAGATTATTTGAGGTGAATCAGAGGCTTTGCTTTGTCATTCGCATAAATTACTTAGACTCGCGTCATTCATCATCGAAACAAGGAATATTTATGATATCTCTCTATCTGATGTCTTTTGTTGACTGTAACTTTTATTAGTCCATCTTCATTTTCAAAATAATCGTCGATAGAACTCTTGATATCGTTATGTCATTGGTGGATGTGCAAGTTTCATATCGTCATTATCACAGACACGAGTATATTCAAATGATATCGGTGAATGTTAAGGGAGAAGCTGTAGAGATCGCAAACCAAAACTATATGCCACATTTTAGTGCTGTAATAATGCAACCAAAGATTGCTTTACATCCAAATGTATCAAAGTCCATAAAAAGCTAGCAAAACATGATGAATTAATATCTTATGCAACAAAATTCTATTAGTGATAGAATAAACCAATGATACGATCTAAAGATACAATACAGTATACAGAACGAAAACAAAGGATTGTGTGTACTGGTATTAGTCATAAGGTATACGTTTATCTTTCATTTACGACATTTCTATTGTTTTTCTCTTGCATATATTCAAAGATTATGTGATTATGCGATAAATTAGTCATTGTTACAGAGTTCTCTCTGGATAGCAAAAGTTAAGGCAAAAAAGAATAGCGATTGATTAAAAGTTCAGATAATCATACGTTACCTAAACCATCTCCACAAGCACCAGAGAGATAGAGAGGAAGAGGAATGAAAAAAAAGTAGATAGACCTTTATATGAACATAATGTATATGTACCAGAAGAAAAGAACTTAAATATATCAGGCAAGAACAAGAAAGAAGATGATAAAGAATTTCAAAAATAATGGACACTTGTTAGTGTCCTTTTTAACAATTACTGATACGAGAATACTTCCCTACGGTATTCAAACTATGCGCAGATTCTAAATCAAAAGCCACCAAAGTGCATGTCGGAAATCCACAAAAATCGATATATGTTACTAATATCTACCAAACTCATATGTTAGAGAAGTAATTCAAGTTTCTCGATGTTTCACCAGTATTTGTAGACAAAATTGAAATTGTCATATTTTCTATTCATTAATGCAAGAGCATGTCTGAAACTTGAAATAAACGTACTAGACATATACTTCAGTTCTGTCTTGCCTCAGTCAATGCAGGCGAACGGGCACACTTTGTAAGACGAGAAGACTTTGTTTAATGACAATGCATCTCTACGGGAAACGAAGTAGCCAAAAAATGCTTTTCTCATCTTTCAGTAGTGAAGTATAATCTATCATTTGGATGAGATGAGTTAGATATTTAACGGTATTGGGTATCGAATCAACCAGTATTGAGAAACTGAACATACTGATCAAGAGAGAAGATGTTTTGTTGATAATACTGAGGAAGAACAGTTTGTCTGTGATCAGGATTATGTCTTGAGTTGTTTGGAAAAAATATAGTAGAGGTAGTGTTGAATTGTACATCGAAAGACTTCTACATTATTATTGGGTATACGTGGTTCCAATGAAGTAGTTCTCCTCCTTTGAGATCAAAAAGGATAACTTTTTGATCACAGCATTGAACATAAGGTTTTTTTCGGAATGAACAATGCACGAAAAAAAGTTGCAGCTACATGGGGTCGATTGATAGTTGGAGTTAAAATCTTCCATAGTGCTTTTTTACAAGTTCTTTGCGATGAGAGAAAATATGTTGTTTTGTAACGGATATAGTTTTCATTATTCGGTTTCCAATATTCTTGTTGGCCTATTCCATGTATTGGTAGATATTATTGAATGGAATTGTCTATAGGTCGCTGAGAAAGGGATTCTATTTAGTTGCTTTATAGATTTCGCTGATGTTCATGAATCGTTTATTAAAATGGGCGGTGCTTTTTCTTTTCTTTTTCTCTATTGAAATAGTGGCTTGGTATAAAAATAAAGAGAACAATATTAATTGCGTGTGTGCAAGCGAAATAGATTGTTCTTGAAGTTGTCTATCAAATTGTCGATTAGGTTTTGGAGCAAAAGTTTGTTGTGCTGTTTTCGAGTGTCAGCAGTTCTTTTACAAGTGTACATATATTCTATAAATATTTTTGTTTATATACCTAATTTGATCAGTACCCTGATGTAATATAGATACATATATATATATATGGGCTAATTTCAAAATTATTGTACCGTTTGAGACAAAAATCGACGAAAAACAAAATTTTCGATTTTAGGGGTTATGAGTTGTGTATTTTAATGTACTCGGTGAGGAGAGAATATGAATAAAATTTCCCGACTACCACTCTTAAAGTGGCTGAGTTACAGCAGTTTTAAAAATATATGAAATGTCCCCAGATGTGAGTTTTTTCATATACATCATAAGTTTGTTAAACTACAAATTTACTCAAATATATTTAAAGAGCTTCAGATCATACGCAGAAAGAACTGCATCTGTGGTGGTATATATAGTTGTGCTATAAAAAATAAACTAGCTCTCGACTACACGAATGTAATAGTGTATTATATATGTTGCATCGCAGCCCAGATAGCTTCGGACATGTGATTAGTGTCATCAGATATTGAACCAAAGCTATAACAATCGTTTTTCTTCCACAAATAACCACATAAGATCGATATGTGTTGTTCGTAGTAATATGAAGCTAAAAAAACACGTTTTAGTTCTTGATGATAATAATTCATGAGAATGGCAACGCTTGTAGTACGATGAACAGAGTAACATTTTATTCTGAACATTGTACTGTCTAAGTCGTAAGGTCGATATTGACTATCCAGTTATTTACCTTTCTCTTGACTTGCGTGTTTCAAGTTAAAATTTTCAGACCAATCCAAATGTATAGTAACGGTATTATCTTCTTCGATTGCCATCTGTCTTGCTTGTTTTGCTGCTCGAAATTGTTGGCACACTCGGTCAATATGGTGCGTTAAATCCTATGAAAAGAACAAAATTATCTTCTTTTTAATACAACTCTATGAACATACCTCGATTTCATTCATAAATTTGTTTACAAAATCTGAAATAGACGAAGTAATTGTAGTTTTTGTTGAAATGGGTGCATTTGATTGTTCATTTTTCTTCTTTATCCATTCACTATATGTTATATTAAATTGTTCATGTTTGAGTGTTGCTAAATTACTTGTGAAATCTTTTGTTTTGATTTCATTCGTCACCAGCTCTGTTATATCTGTTAAACCATCAATAAGCACCGTTTTTATAATTGAATATCGAGATTTGAGATTTTGTAATCTTTCTAACTTCATCTGGGGATTAATGCAAATCGCACACAGGCATGTACCCCAGTCATTGACATTTGGTTTTACGACAAAACCAGGAACATATCGAGTGAATGTTGAATAATGACAGTTGTTACCAGCTTCGATCACAAATCGTTGATGAACAGTCGATAAATGATTCAATAGATATCTAATTTCTTTCCCATATAATTGTTTTTTCTTATCAGGTGCTTGTTTAGTAACATCATCTTGACATAAAAATTCTTCTATATCTTTCTGGAGTGTTGATGGTGTACTAGATGGTGGATTATAATTATTAGATAAATTTACACCTAGTTTTTTCTTCAATTTTGAAAGAGAACCACGAGGTAGACTTTCTTTTTTATTAAGTAATCGTTTAGTTGCACGTTTTTTTCGCTGTTGGACTAACATTATCGATAAACAATTTTGCTGGTGACATCAGTGGTGTTGTATCAACAGTGCTGGTTTCTTCTGAATGTTTTTGAGATAATAATCTTTTCATCTTCAGATTCTCTTTCTCTAATTGTTGGACCTTATTCAGCAATTTTTCATTTTCATTTTTCAATTTTCTGGTATTGGCTCGACGACGTTTAGTACCTTCAGCTTTTCATGAGTCCGGTTTAGTTGCGGGTGGTGCAAGAGCAATTGCTACTTTTCTCTGAGCTTCCTTTTTTCGTCGTCGGCACTTTTGCTGTGTTGCATTTTGTTTTGCTTTAAATTCACGGTCAAATGTTTTTGATATTGTTCGTCTGAATTGAATGTTTTGACGATATTTCAGGTTATAACGTTGAGTTTTACTTTTGTGATGAGAAACCATATTTTATCTAGAACTAATGAATAAGACAATGTGATCTATTCTGAATTATATTTAGTTCTTATATATATATTCTTAAAATTGAGAATAAGCGAATAATCAACGAACAATCAATGGATATCCATAAGCATGAAAGTTTTTCTGTCACTTTAGCCATTTGTCAAGTTCAAACCAGGCTCAATTTAGATGTGTTTTGATAGTCCTTTAAATACGATACTAAGTGGTATGTAAATTATTTGTCCCAGTCTTATGTATGAAGTAATTAAGTCAAGGGGGAAAAAGCGGATTGTGGTATCTCGGTATCCTGTGTATCCCCGATGTATCCTGTGTATCCCCGATGTATCCTGTGTATCCTCGATGTATCCCCTGTATCCCCGATGTATCCTCCGTATCCTGACCGTATCCCGGATACGCGAATCCGCGAAAAATTTACGTATCCGGAATGCGCCGAGGACACATTAGGGATACAGAGGATAAAGACGATATATTGCGAATACAGGGAATTCCTGGATCCGATTTTCTCCGAAGCGGAGAAAAATGAAAAACTGAGTTTTCTGCAAGGGGGAAACATCGAACTTCTGTACGTTACATACTTTCCGTACTTTAATATACTTTAAT